CCAGGGAGAGGCGGGTCAGAGCGGCCAGCAGATACGGGTAGGTGGGCGTGCTGGTCCCTCTCCAGCTGTAGGGATGAGGAGCCCAGGCCATGAGCTGCTGATAGCAACACTGTGGTGTGATTTCTCTCTGATTATGTCATTTCTCTGTCCCCACCCCTACCCAGATGGTTTCCAAAGCCCCTTCCTCCTCCCACAGGCTGCAGTGCTATTCTATCCAATCTCCTGCCTCAAGGGAAGAAGAGATTAAGAAAGTGGGGACCCTGGAAGGGTGGAAGATCGGGGGTGAGCTGCTATAAGGGGCCAGTGAGACGGGGGCTCCCTCACCCAGAGATTCCCTGAGTCACTTGGGTAGTTTCTCCCCTCAGGGTTACACAGCTGGGAAGATCCGAGAGACCAGGGGGACTGCTGAGCTCCTCGGAGCATTCACCTACCCTATCGTGGGTCCCACCCCTAAACACCAACTCCTCTCATTCAGGACTGTGGATCAAACTCATTTACACTTACCACTTGCAGGGCTTCGAAGCCCAGAGCTGCAAGCCCAGCTCCAGCTCAGAGGAGGCTCTGAGGCGGCGGGCAGGAGGGTTGCGGGAGGACGGCAACCACCAACCAATGCTTCTCCTCCAGATATATTTTGAAGAAAGCTGATGCCCAGCAATCTGTCTGTCCTGAATCCTGTCTCACCCACTTTTATCCACCTCCTTTTTAGTCTATTCTCTTTTAGCACAAATCTTTTTTTTCTTGAAAGTTAATTATGTGAGCCATACATGAATACATTCTGGGTCTAAATGTGTCAAACCAAACAAAAAAGTCAGTCATAGGAAGACCTTCCCCCTCGCCACCTTGTGCTCCCACATGCTGCTCCTTGTAATTTTGCCTGTAAATACAGACAGGAGTTCATGCGGGGGGGGCGGGGGGTACAGCTCACTTTTCCCATCTGACAGTACAGCTTTCTGTGTTGGTACATTAAGGATATCTCAGCTTTTTAACTGCTGTAGAGTATTCACAGTTTTTAAATAAAAACATTATTTCCCTGAGGGACATTTCATTGGCTTTCAATTTTTTGCTATTCCAAATAGCCACAATGGACTCTTATTCTTTCTTCTATGAGCATAAGCACAGGGCCATGTTCTTGTAGGATAGGGACTTGGAGGGAACGGTTGGGCCTGAAGGCAAGGAGGCATCTCTGTGTCACCAGGCCTTGCATAGGAATGACACCCCTTTCTCAGGACTCAGCCCCCCAAGTTGGAGCCCTATGAGTGCCTTTCCCACAGGGTCCCTGTGGTCCCATAGCTACTTCAGGAAAGAATACAGCCTCCCACCCCCACTGGGAGTTCACAAGGGAATTTGGCAGAGTTGGCTCTGGGGACTCCTCTATGAGCCCTAGGACAGTGAGTCTGACTGACTTAGTGACTGCTAGGCTCAGGTTGACAGGTGCCATATTCCTTGGAGTACACCAGCCTCATGGCTCAGATTCCCAGAGGAGCAGCAGTAAGCAATGGCTAGTTGTTCTGGGTTTGGGCTCTGAGTACCTCAGCCCTGTTCCTACATAAGAGAGCTCAGCCAGTAACTAAGGCTTGGCCGCCTTGGGCCCCTACTAATATAGGGCACCCTGTGCCTACAGGCTTTCCTTCTGTTACCCCCACCCCGACCCCGGTTCCACGAAGGCTACCATTTCTCAGGGCTCTGCTCTCAGCTGGGGTGCAAACTGGTCCTTCCTTCTTACTCCTTGGAGTTAAGAACTACTTGTCCACATCTGCCTTCCTCAAAGAGTCTTGAGTGAGCAGACTGATCTCTTCTGGTGGAATGTGAGGCACAAATCTGAAGGTGGTTGGAGAAAGGCCAGAGCAGGGTTTCCCAGAAACTTCTGTGTAAGGCTGGACAGTCCTCATGGGGTGGGCGTGGGGGGACAGGAGGGACAGAGGTGAATGAAAGGGCTTTGGCCCTCCCCACCTCCTACTTCATAAGAAAGACTAAGTACTCATAGCTGGTCCACAAGGCTCAGACTCAACTGTGGCTAAGCACTCACTGTATAACAAGTGTCTTCACAAGCTTCTGAGGGGGATTACTGCCCCATGCTACAGACAATGGACACAGGGTTCAGAGGAAGCCCTGAGTGATCCATGCTGGTATGGGGCTCCTCTGGGCAGCGTTGTGTATCAACCCTTTCCAGAAACCCAGGAAGATGGCTGTAAGTGCACCGTGAGCCCTGCGGAAGCCACCTGCAGTGAGACCTGCCTACCAAGCCTCACAGGCAACTTCAGGGCCTGCCACCATGAAGGAAGTCCAGCACACAGCAGCATCCATAGGGCCTGACGCAGCTCTTGGAAGCCTCTAAGAGCCATGTCCATAACCCCTCTACCACTACCACTTATGGCCCTCCTGCTGAGGGCCAATATGTCTGTGTATTCAGCGCTTACAACCAATAGGTGTGGCACTCCTGCCCTGTTCTGAGCATGGAGAACCAAGCAGGAACAGAACAAAGCCAAGTTCCTGGCCTCCCCTGAGCATTAGGAGATTGTCAACCAATGAGCAAATGGATATTAATATTGAGGAGTGGGGGGTGACAAATAGGAAGGGAAACAGGGAGGATGGTTGGTGGGGTGAGAGGATGTATGTGCTAGAGTTGGGGGTGGCGTTAAAAGTCCAGAAGTGACTAAGGAGGTCGTATCTGAGAGACACCTTGGGGCAGTGAAGGAGCAAGTCAAGCAAGGCTGGTGGTGGGGGCAGGATGGAGGAGGGTCATAGAAGAAAAAGGCCCTAAAGTAGACCCAGCCTCATTAGGCTTTGAAAAAGAAGGCAGTGAACGAGACCAGCCGACAGGAGATCCTTTCAGAGGTGGAGATGGTGGGGGGAGGGGCACAGGCCTGGGGGTCCCTGAAAGACACAGGTGCATGATAGAGCTCTGAGGTCTCTCAAAAGCAGTGGCAGAAATTCTTGGAAGCTGGACAAAAGCAACAAATTCTTTTCTTTTCTCTGGAATCCTGAGCATATTATCCTGGGCCGTGAAAGCAATGTGGTCATTTCCTCTTCCTCCTCCTCCTCCTCGTCTTCTTCCTCTTCTCTCTCCAAAGCTGCCCCTGACCTTGTCCCAAGCTGGCTCCCCAGCATGCAGCTGAGGCATTGGCCGCCTCTCCGTAGCAGGCAGAAGACAAGGCCAACGAGGGCACGAGGGGACAGGAGGAAAGACGCCCCTGGGAAAGGCAGGCCGCAGCACAAAAGACGACGTCACGGGGCCTCTGACCACTGTTCATTTCAGTCGCCCGTGTCTCCATCAATAACCGTCTGCCAATGACCAGGAGGGAGGAGGGAGGAGGGGAGGGAGTGGGGTGAGGTGGGACTGGACCAGGAGAGGGACTAATGGAGTAGAGGCAGGCTCCTTGACAGGAGGTGGAGCCAGCACTGAACTGGGGTTTCTGTATACAAGCTAATCTCCCCTTCCTTCTCCTACCTCAGTTTCCCCTTCACATAAACCTCCCTATCCTACCTCCTCTCTAGCCAAGAGGAAAAGGAAGCAAGACCCATTTCCACACGGAAGGGGAATAATGGAGGTTGGTGGGTACTAGCCGGGTGGTGGGAGTCAGGCAAACTAGAGGGCTTTGGAAGCACCCTGTGCATCAAGCACTCACAAGCCTAGTGATGGCAAGGGCTGCCAACCTGCAGGCCTCTGGAGAGAAGAGCCTAAGCATTGCACAGAGTGGACATTCAGGAAGATAATGGCCTTAGATGAATCAAAAGGTGTGTTATGGACAGTCGGGAAAGGCTGTGACCCATGGAGGGACTAGAGCAGTCAGGAGAGCTGCCAGGAGTAGGCAGAGCTCGGCCAGATTCATGAAAGGGAGACTGGGTGGGAAGCAGTTAAAGAGGGGAGAGAGGCAGATCCCGGAGCTGACTGAGGACGGCCTTGGGCCTGGGGAGTGGAGTGGGCAGAGGAGCTGGAGAAGACAAGGCAAAGAGCTTGGAGTGGGGACCCACCCTGCAGGGCGAGTGTGGTACTGGGCGGCTTTACAAAGTCCAAGATGAATGACTTCTAGAACATTCAAGACTACCTTGGCCAAAGTGTGCCTTTAGTTTCACCATGACTTCCAGCCATGTATGCCTCCCACGCCACATTCAGCCACATCCACTGACACAAGAGGGCCCTGAAGCAGGGCGCTGGAGGAAACTCCCAGAAAGAGTTCTGTCACAGGGCCTACGGGACTGCGCTGAACTCCCCAGCTCATAGACTGCACTCCATGGAACACTCCAGCGTCCCTAGCAAGAAGCGGTGACTAGTGGGGCTGGTAGAGCGGTTCAGGGAGAGAAGTGGACAGGACCTTGGAGAGCATGTAGAGCCTTCTGTTCGGCTGGTCTCGGCGCAAGCGGTGTGAGGCAGTGCAGGGCTCCAGACGGTTGGTTGCAGAGGAGGGGTAGGCCTCCGTGCACTTGGAGGTGGAGAAACCTTTAGACGGGGGGGGGGCCCTTCTGGTATTATAACGGCCCCACTCATTTTATTAGGACAAGCTCATCCGGGTGGGAATGCGGTGGGGGGGGGCGTCTTACAAATGTACAAATGCAGCCTTTATTTGGAACGTCCCTGACCTGAGGGGCCCAGAGTTACGGATGCAGAGGGAAGAGTGGTTAGAGCAGTTGAAGGCTCCAGGGGGACACTGCTCCTTCTGGGAGGTGTGGGAGCCAGAGCTGAAACGTTAGAAAAAACAGCACTCACAAGGAGTGGGGAGAAGGCAGAGACGCCTGAAGCCTTCGGGCACAAGGACAGAGAGGGACCCGCGGGCAGAGGGGGTGCTGGCGGGGGAGGGGGAATCCGCGGAGGGAGCGAAATAAAAAGAGCCGCGGGAGGAAGGAGAGGCAGACAGCCGGCCAGGGCAGGGGCAGGGAAGCTCCGAGGAGAGCGCCCGAGAGCGCGAGGTGGGGAGAGCGGAGCCGGAGGGCGGGAGGCTGGCGGGGCGGCGGGCCTGGCTGGGGCCCCCACTGACCCTTGTCGCCGCTTGCTTCCCTCGCAGGCTGCGCTTTCCTCACCTACTGCGAGCGTGAGTCAGCGCTGAAGGCCCAGAGCGCGCTGCACGAGCAGAAGACCCTGCCCGGGGTAAGTGCTGCCCGCCGGCTCCGGCTGCCGATAGGCGGCGACTCCGGGAGGCCGGGGTGCGATGCGAGGGGCGGGGACGCGGGGACCCCGCGGGCCGGGTCGCCCCGGGCGGAGGAGCGCGTGCCGGGGGCGGCCGTCCGGGCCCCACCGACGAAGTCTCGGCCCGGGCGGGGGATGAACTTGGTGGT